TTTTCTGTGTATTGAGAAAAGTATGCTGTTGTTGTTCAGTTGCTGTCATATCTGACTCTTTGCAACCCTGTGGACTGCAGCCTTCCAGGCTTCCCTGTCCTCCACTATCTTCCGGAGTTTGCTCAGATTCGTGTTCATTGAGTTGGGGATGCTATCTAACCATCTTATCCTCTGCCACACTCTTCTCCTTTTGCCCTCAGTCTTTCCCATCATTAAGGTCTTTTCCAAAGAGTCAGCTCTTCGCATCAGGTGGTGAAAAATGATAGGTTTAAAAAAACCCAGCTCTAGTGATTATAAAACATATGGTCCTGGATCCTTGAACTTCGCTAGTCTTAACTTTTCTTCACTTTTCAATAGAGACTGGGTTACCTTCTTTAGGAGGTCATGGGGCTCGTGGTTGGTCATCACAGATGTGGTCCTGGGCTGCCTTTTGAGCCTAGGTCATGTTTACCAACCTTTCAAGTCACACTGATGCTTTTGCTCTTCTCTGTTGGAGGGCTTTTTCACACCTTCTGGTTTTTGTACTTGCCTTTCCCCTGCCTGAAGTACCAATCCTCTCAGACTCAGCTCATCCTTCGAGAGTTATCACAGAGTGTGGGCTCCTCTGCTCACCCCTACTGGAGCTCATCATAGTCTCTGTTGTTTGGAATGCTTTCTTAAAAATTTTCCCACTTTCCCACTGGACTGGGAGCTTCTTGAGGATGTAGAATATTCATTGCTAAATGAATAAACAGATGACTTAAGAGCTGTGTGAATGGCAACTGCTGTTCTTTCTGCTTTTCTGTTTTTCTACAAGTTGTTCCAACTCTAAAGAACCCTTAATCCCAGATGAACTGAAGAGACTTGATCACATTCTTATAACTCTATCGGGAGAGGGGTCCTGGCTCAGTTTCCTACTTCTAATGAAGCCCCTGGCTAGTGTTCGTCAAAGTTGTCCAGAACATTGCAGAACATTTAGGAGTTACTGTATTCTATGGAGGACACCATGAAATATTAATCACTTTCATCCTGTGCATTAGCAATAACTTAGTGGAATAGGTGGTCAATGTAAGTAATATAAGATTGCAACCAAGGACATATATGTGTGTCCATAAGAAAATAAACAAAGCCCCCAATTCTCCCCAAGTCCAAGCTCTCAAAAGAATCATAATCATATTCCTCTTTTCAAATTAATGTTTATTTTCTGCTTATTTATTTATTCATTGATTTGATCTGTGAGTGCTCACCAGTAAAGAAGGAATAATAGGTGATAAATATTAAAATTTTTTTTTGGAGAACAGCTTAAAATTGAGAACATTCAATGGATTAATTATTCCTCAATTTTGACAGTTTAACAGTCTTGTCTAGTAATGCTAATTGAGTACTTGTGAAGTGAAAAAACTGAAAGTGTTAGTTACTTAGTCATGTCCAGACCCCCATGGACTGTAGCTTGCCAGGCTTCTCTGTCCATGGAATTCTCCAGGCAAGAAGATTGGAGTGTGTAGCCATTCGCTTCTCCAGGAGATCATCCCAACCCAGGGATTGAACTTGAGTCTCCTGCATTGCAGGCAGATTCTGTACCATCTGAGCACTTACAATGGACCAAACACTGTGCCAAGGGCTTTGTGTGGATTATTTCATGTATCTTCACTCTCATGGGATAAAGTGGACATTTTTATGATTTTTATCATACTGATGAGAAAACAGAGGCTTAGTGTTCAAGGACACATGTTTTTACAAAGTGAAATCATGACTCATACAACATAAAATGAACATATGTCAAAAATTTTATTTAAACCCATTAAATAATGAGAGGACCAGTAAGATGTCACAACTAGGTCAAAGCAGACTCCAAAGTCCAGAGCATACACCTGGCAGTATGGAATGAGGAAACAGATGTGAACTGGTCAATATGCTCAGAGGGCAATAATCAATCGCTTTTCCACAGGACATGTCTGTATTTCTATGATCAGGAATAACTTGAATGATTGTACATTTTCTACAACATACAGCATTGTAAAATAGTTTTGTTAATGCAAAGTGGGTGTAACCCAAGGATATACGAGTCAGAACACCCAGATATGTTTTTGGCCATTTCAAAGTCTTGCCCAGGTTTTCATGTAGTTAGAAAAGGTAAAGATTTGCCTAAGGTCACATAGTCAGGATGCGAATCCTAGCAATGCAGAGCCAGTGTCCCCAACAACAGCTGTGAATAAAAACTTTAAGTACTACCAATGGAAAGAGAGACCAGCTCTTCTTACAGCTGTTATTCTGCTGTTGTTTGATGTCTTTAGCTACGTATTTTTTGGTCTATGAAAAAAGGCTGTGTATGTTTGAGTTTTAGGAAATGAACTCATATATTGGATTCTTAACAGGTGTCAGGTACTGTGTCAAATGTTTGAAGCCTGAGATCCCATTTTATCTTAAGAACACCACACAAGGAGGTATTAGTAAATCCCCATTTTACAGATGAGCACTTAGGAGTTTGAACTGATTCCCAGAGTTACACGGCTGACGAAATGGAGCTATGATTCAAACCCACATCCCTCCTTGCCAAGGACCATGCTGTTCCAGCCAATGAGCCAAACAATAATTCTAACAAATTCTAACAAAGAATTTTCATAGTTCCCACCTTTTGGAACTTGTATCATTTGCTGTGGGGTTGCTGAGTTATGCCGAGGACTGGGGGATTGTTGTAAAGAAAACAAAATTGAAAAGAAACCTTTTTTATTTTGGTCCTCTATGTTCAGTGGACCCAAATTTGTCTGCAGGCAGCAACCTCAAAGTGACATGTTGTGGCCCCAGCCCTTGACTTGTGCCAGTTGAGTCACAACAGTTGAGTCAATCAGCTGTTGAGTAGGACCTTGATTTTGGAATGGTAGGGTGCCTTTTCAGTTGTGCGTGGGCTGGTTTCCTGGTGGCTCAGTGGTGAAGAATCTGCCTGCTATGCAGGAGATAAGAGTTCTATCCCTGGGTTGGGAAGATCCCTTGGAGAAGGAAATGGCAACCACTCCAGTATCCTTGCCTGGAGAATCCCGTGGACAGAGGAGCCTGGCGTGCTGTAGTCTATGGGGTCGCAAAGAGCTAGACACGACTAAAGCGACTGAACTGAACTGGAAGCTACTGAACACGCACGCATGCATCAGTTATCAGCTATCCCCCCCGAAGAAATCTTTTGACGTTTGCCGGCTCTCACTATGACCTGATGATACCCCAGGACTGACACTGATGAACGTGTACATGTAGGCTTCTTTCAGGTTTCCCAAGCATTGCCTTCTCAGAATGGCCTGGGTGCTTTTATAAATTGCAGTTATATCAACAGTACCTGAGACTTAATGAATCAGAAACTCAGCGGGGTGAGGGCTGAAAGTGTTCGTGTTCAAGATCCATCCTAGGGGGTTTGGAGAATCACACAAGTGTAAATGCTTGGGCTCCGGATTCAGCGAGGCCTGGGTGAGCATCCCAGCCACACTGTGTGATACTGGGCAAGTTCACTCAGCTCTTTCAAGACCTGCTTTCCTCCTTTGAAAAATGGGGATAATTATAGTTGTGAGGAATGAATGAGATAATCCATGGGAAGCATTTGGCATGGGTCCTGGCACCGGCTATGTTCCCAGGAAGTGTCAGCTATTAATGTATTTCATTGATCCTATAAGATGCTCACACTTTTTGGTTTGTTTTTTCCATATTAACATCTCTGAAGTCAGTCTGCTTCTTAAAATGGATGGGGTTTCATGGTCTCATTGGTGGTATTTTTTTCCTTCTTAGTGGTGGAGCCCTGTGGGCTGCTACAGCCCGTGGGGTTGCAAAGAGTCGGACGCGACAGAAGTGACTGAGTACGCACGCGCAGTGGTCTCTAAAGCAAGCGTGCATCTTACAATGGATGGTCTTTAGACTTGGTGAAATGCAGTGGTGTATGTGAGGGTTCTGGGGTGCTCTGTTGTCCACCATAAGGCCTCCTGGAGGACGGCTAGAATCTGGGGACTCTCAGGTCTGTCTGTGTCCATCTCGCCAGGGGTTCTGCTAGCACAGGGGTAAGTCAAATGAAATTTGGATAAACAAGGCAGATGGGCCCACCGCTCTCTGGAGGGGGCTCCATGATTTCAGATGTACTTCGTTGGTCTCCCTCTGTGGGGCCTTGTTCATGTTTCCTGTTGGGGCTTCCCAGGCGGCTCAGTGGTAAAGAACCCTCCTGCCAATGCGGGAGGTGCAGAAGACACAGGTTTGATCCCTGGGTTGGGAAGATCCCTTAGAGAAGGGAATGGCAACCCACTCCAGTATTCTTGCCTGGGAAATCCCACAGATAGACGAGCCTCGCGGGCTACAGTCCATGGGACACAAACGAGTTGGATGCGACTTAATGACTAAACAACAACATGTTTCCTGTTGGGAGGCTTCAAGCCAGGGCGGCTTGAACAGGGTGGGGCAGGTGGGGTGGGGGCATTTCCCACCTCCTTCCTTCATTCCTCTGCATCTCCAGACTTGCCCTGTTGGATGTCTCTGGGCCACCTGGCCACCACTTTTATTTTTGGATCCCCCTTTAGGTCCCCCTTTCAGGGAAGGATTTTGAGATGGAACCTGGGCTCCAGAAGGAGTGAACAATATCCCTAACACTGCCTGCCTCAGAATTACCAGTATTATCACAGTGAATCGGGAGCCCCTCCTTCCAACAGCCCCACTGGCCCATGGTTCTTGTCTGCTCAGCTGTTGATCAAAATGGGATTTGGCAGCAAGATAGTGGTGGGGGAAGTTTGGCTTCTTGTTTTTAAGGTGATCCATAGAAGGAATCAGCTTAATGAGTGGTTTGCTTCCTTTGAAAAAGCACCATCTGGGTTTAGATTTCATATTTACTATTTTAAACCTTTGCAATTAGACCCCTGGGGTTTCCCAGGCTTGCCTGGGGGAGTTTTTTTTCCAAGCTTCCCTTCCCTTCCTGGGACAAATGTTTGTTTTTCTCACATATTCATCACAGCCCCCCCACCTCGGCCCCCCCCCGCTTCAGAGAGCCCTGGGCAGCCCACCTTGACTTGGGGGCCTGGTGCCTGGTGGGGAGCGTTCAGCTGGGAGCAGCACTTGGCAGGCTGCTTCCTGCCCCATGCCCGCCTTCGCCACGGAAAGCCGGGGGCGGGGGCGGGGGGGCCTGTCTTGGTGCATTGGCGGAGTCCGCTGGAAGCTCTCCGTTTTGAGAGTAAAAGGGACTTTCTCATGGGTTTCCCGCTCCAAGAGTATCAATCAGCTCCAGAGAAACACTAGGGAGGCGGGAAGTGGTTTCCTAGCAGGAATCGCGATTACAAAGGCCGCCGGCTCCCTCTGGAGCTTTTGTCCCAGCTGGTACCATGGTCAGAATTTAGGGGCCATCCCGGGGTAGCCTTTGCTGGCCCGAGTCTACTGATCCTGAAAATCGGGGAGAAGGAGTAGAAACATGTGCCTGGAGCCTATTAAACAGAGTGAATTAAGTCAGAGAGAGAAAGAGAAATACTGTATATTAACACATATATATGGAAAGATGGTACATATCCAGAAAGGTGGTACCCACGAGCCTAGGCACAGGGCAGCGAAGGAGACACAGACGTGAACAGAGTTTTGGACTCAGCGGGACAAGCAGAGGGTGGGATGATTTGAGAGAATAGCACTGAAACATGTACATTACCATATGTGAAATAGAGGACCGGTGTGAGTTTGATGCTTGAAGCAGGGACAAAGTCGGTGCTCTGGGACAAGCTGGAGGGATGGCGGGGGAGGGAGGTGGGAGGGTGGTTCTGGATGGGAGGGGAAACACATGTATTCCTGTTGATGTACGGCAAAAACCATCACAATATTGTAAAGTAATCATCTTCCAGTTAAAGTTAAAACAAAAAAGTGCCGGGAGGAGCACGGAGTGGCCGGATCTAGAGGTCTCACTCTTTCTATTGCATGATGGATGGCTTTTTGCAAATCTCTGAGCTGTTGGCTCTTGACAGGCGGAGAGGGAAGGATGAGACCTGTCTCGTGTGGTTGTGACATCTGGGTGGGCTATTGTGACCTGCTGGGCTCTCAGTTGGGGCCCTTTAAGTACCCTCCCTGCCGGCCCTTGCCCTTTCCTGCTTCCCTTGGAGACTTGAATCTATACCTAATGTCATTTAAATATGATTTTTGAGATGATAGTTGAAGCAGGGGAATGAGGCAAGGAAACAGGAGGAAAAAAGTAATTTCATATTCCATCCCCTCCTCCATTTACCACCCCCCCAAAAGAAAAGACATTTTTTATTTTTTAACACTGCATGTGTTATTGGGCAGAAGATGCGCAGCTGTGGCTGGTGACTGCCTGAAGCCAGCTCCTGGAGGAACCCCTGCCCTGCCGGTCTGCTGCTTTGCTCAGCTGAGCTGTGGGGTGTGGGGTTAAAGGACCCTGGCCAAAGTGAGGAGTTTTATCTAGCTCCCTGACAGCTGTGAGAAATCCTGATTGACAACAGGGCGGCTTCTAAGCAGGGAGCTGGGAGGCTGGCTGATGTGAGGGGACCTGGAAGGAGGAGACAGGTCCCCAAGTGTCAGATTTGAGGGGCACTATTTGTTTCAGATAGATTTCATTCCCTATTGGAAAGGAAAGCTGCTTTAACATGGGATCGAAAAATGGGCTTCTTTAATATGGGATCAAAAAATGCCTAAGGCTGTAATGAAGGGTCGTCACTCCAGGCAGAGAATGGTCTGTGTTAAAATGATGATCCAGCTGCCCAGTGGAATAAACGGGCTGATGCTAATAAGAGTAATTGAATTTACAGCAATAGCTGTGTGCTGTGAATGGCTTTTGGAAGCCAGCAGCTTCTGGGGAAGAGAGGCAAAGGGTTTCTAATATGCAAAGAAGGCTGGGTATGAAGCCCCCGGGATAAAAAATCACATGAATTTCATTCATCACTTTAATAATAGGTGGATTCCTAGACTGATTTGGAGTTTCATCAGTGTGCAAATTAATTAAGCTGTTAAAGGTCTTGCAGAGGTACACACAGGTATACTTGGCCTTGCTTGACAAGGAGCATGCATGCTGCTCTGGGTCTAATTGTCAGAGTGATTATTTTCTCCCCTATAAATTACTGGCAGCAAATTCAGTGCAGTGCACTGGTATGCTTTTAATTATTCACAGGATCTGAGGATGGGGGCTCTGTGGGATAGGCTTTTATGAAATATGTAGGTTCGTATATGTGTAAAAATATCTACTAATCCCTCCCAGCTGGGTTCATTTATTTTGCACACATCATGGTTATCAGATACAGGTTTGGGGCTTGGGGGGGCACCAACAAGGAATATTTATCTTCTGGGTGTGTGGATTTCATCTTTGTGTAAATGATAAAAAAAATTTTTCAACCTTTTTCAAACTGCACTTGCTGACTGCAAGCCTATTTTTTGTGGGCATTGTTATCATAATTGGTATTAGCAAAACATTTCAAAATACAGGCTAAGGGCCAAAACAGAGCAATAGAAGAAAATTAATCTGTTCTCTGGAAAGGAAAACCATTTGGGCTAAGTAAGCAAGCCGTGTGTCATAGTGAAAACAATACAGGTAGCAAAACCAGAATGTCCTTCATTTGTTCACTTTCATTCATTCATTTGCTAAATAGCTGGTGGCACCTAATGTGCCAAACTGTGGGGATAGAGAATAAATTGTCTTGGAAAGAGCTGGAGAGGTATAGTTGGAGAAGTGGCTGAGAAGCTGAAATACAGGGTGCAGTGAAAGCAGACCTGATACAGAAGGGCAGAGGTGGTCAGAAAAGGGGTCCCTTGATGAGCAGGGGAATTAACTAGATGAAGTGTGGGCATGCATGCATGCTGGTGGTGATGAAGCGGAAACAGCATGGACAGCCTGAGGCGGAGAGGTGATTATTACGTATAATAGTTTGTTAGGGGGGGGCGACAGAGGATGAGATGGTTGGATGGCATCACCGACTCAATGGACATGAGTTTAAGTGAACTCTGGGAGATAATGAAGGACAGGGAAGCCTGGCGTGCTGTAGTCCATGGGATCACAAAGAGTCAGACACGACTTAGTGACTGAACAACAACAAGGCTTCTATACCAAAGTGCCAGAGACTGGGTTGCTTAAACAACAGTGCTCACAGCTCTGGAAATTAAAAATTTGAGATCAAGATGTTGGCAGGCTCGGTTTCCTCTCAGGCTTGTACATGGTTACCTTCTCCATGGGTCACTTGGGGTCTTTCCTCTGTGCTTGTCTATATCCTAAGCTCTTCTGCTTTCAGAAAAATTATTTACTTATTTATGACTCTGCTGGGTCTTCATTGAGGTGTATGGGCTAATTATGGAGCATGAGGTTTAGTTACCCTGCAGCACGTGGGATCTTCCTGGACCAGGAGTTGAATCTGGAGGTGGATTCTTGGACCACCAACAAAGTCCCTGACCTCTTCTTATAAGAACATTAGACCTATTGGATGAGGGCCATCCTCATGACCTCATTTTAACTTAACTACCTTTAAAAGACTTTACCTCCCAATATGGTTACATTCTGAGCTACTGGAGGTTAGGACTTCAGTATATGAATTTGGAGGGGATACAATTAAACCCATAACACTTTATGAGGAAACTGAACATAAATTTCCAAGATTCAAAATTGTGTGTTAATAACAAGCATAATTTATGAGAGAGATTGTAGTTTAAAGAAATTTAATCCTTCTTATTACTAGCTATTATGAGCACGTTGCAACCCCAGTTATGCGGGAGAAACACTGGAGAGAGAAAGTCCGATAAAGTTCTCATCTTACTCAGGGAAGTGCAAATGGTTCTTTTAGGCCACACCATATGGCATGCAGAGTCTTAGTTCCCTACTTGGGATTGAACCTGAGTCCCATGGAAGTATGGAGTCTTAATCACTGAACTGCCAGGTATGTCCCAGGAAATGCAAGTTCTGATAAATAGATTAATGAAGTGAAAATCCTATTAATAAAATGTAATAAAGGTGGTGGTTGCATAACATTTTGAATGCACTAAATGCCATTGAATTGTTCACTTTGAAATGGTAATTGTGTCTCAACAAAAACAAACAAACAAAAAACTCATAAAGTTTAAAGCAGCCGCTGGTAGAATTTTTTAAAATGATGAATATAAAGCTTATAATTTTCAAGCAGATTAAGAAACAACTTATAGTTCATAAAAGCAAATGAAAGTGAAAATATACAGTGTGAAAAGCTCACAGCCAGAATGCACAAAATGATGCGGTAGGCATGAGACAATTGTAAGCAGAAATAATTTAAACTCTTCTACAAAAGTGTCCAAACTGTATTTAAAAACCAGTGAGTTATCCTGATAACACAGAATACATCTAAAATAAAACCGGGTGAGAGTGAAAATAAAATAACAAGCTCAGATTGAACAGGCAACACAGATTCAAAGGAGGCAGGGCTACAGTGCTACCACCAAAAGCATGATCTTCAAGGCAAACAGCATTAAATGGAACCAGGGAGTCCCTTTATATGGATGAGTTGCATATTCTACGCTCTGGGTTCTTTCTGAGTGTGGGCAATGTCCTGGTTACTACTCTAGGCACTGCTCATGCATTATTTCTTGAAAGTTCTTAGGGGCATGTGTTGTTATTTTCATCCTCATTTCAGAGGAAGGAAGGGTGAGGATTAGAGAATCTCACAAGTAATCAAGGGTGAAGGGAGAATTTGAACTTGGAAGCTGATCCTTTCCCCCTCCTTGCTTCATTTACCCAACACCCCAACAGAATGTGTATCAATCAAATGTTTACACTACAAGAGGTTAATGGTAGTGTATGTTTTTAAAAGTCTTTTTCAACCTATGTCAGATTTAAAAGATACCTTGTCACAAAGAAAATATGAACAGGTTCCCAATTGTGGAAATTATACAGGCCCTTGTTCTCTAGTTCTGAAGATATAAAATTTGAAACCAATAATAAAAATTAAGTGAAAGTCTCTATCCAGTCACTTAAGAAATAAAGCAATAAAATTCCCAAAATCTCTCCAAAACTCAAATATTTTTTTAAAAAAAGCATTGAAATATAGTTAATATACAATATTATGTTAGTGTTTGGTGTACCCTACAGTGATTTAACATTTGTATACATTATGAAATGATGGTGATAATGTCTAGAA